TGGAATAGCACAGTTATATGAAAGATTTCACACAAGTGAGACGACATGTGTGAATTGGTAGAAAATAAAAGGATTAGAACCAAGACAACAATTTGTATAATGACAGAAATTTGGTAAAAACAGACTTTGAAAGAATTAAGAACTCTGATCAGCTGTGTCATGACCAACCACAATTCTAGAGGACTAGTGATGATACATGCCACCCACCTCCTGATAGAGAAGTGAAGGACTCAGAGTGCAGAAGGAGACCAAAAAAAATTTTTGACCTAGTCAATATGGAAATTTGTTTTGATTGACTGTACATGTTTGTAATGGGATTTGTTTTTCTTTATTTCTCAAGGGGGAAAGGGGAGGGAGGTGGGGGGGAGAAGGCAGATTTTTGCTGATTGAAAAATAAAAACTATATTGTATATTGAATCTTTTTTTTTAAGAAATTATACTGTCACACATTTTTGGGAAATACCTTAGACATAAGCCATATTAACCTTTCATTCAGAGATTTCCTCAGAGCTACTCTGAGATTAGGACAATGGGCCAGAAAGATAGAAAGAATTCTGACCAACATCCCTTTGGGATCAGGTCTCCTTAGGATGAAATCAGTTTTTAAAACCATCATGTAAGAGATGAAATTAGAGCTGAACTTAGAAAGAAACTAGGAGGTGGAGTGTTATGCAAAATGAACTGCAAAAAGGTCAATTTGTCTGTACCACAGAGTGCTTGAAGGGGATGTGTAATAATCCTGGAAAGGTAGACTGGAGCCAGGTTATGAAGGGTCACATTAACAACAAGAGACAATGGAGAGACAGGTTTTTAAGGGTTTTTTTTTTTAAGTTTTGTTTTGTTCGTTGCCGTTCTTTACATTCCCCAGTGCCTGACACATAGTAGGTCCTTAATAAATGCTTGTTGACTTGACTTATTGACAAACCAAGTCATACATTTGTATCTTCAAGGTACAGAAAGAAGAGAAAGGAGGGAGCTAGGTGGTGCAGTGGATAGAGCTCTGGCCTTGAAGTAGGAGGATCTGAGTTCAAATCAAGCCTCATTCATTTGACACTTGCTAGCTGTGTGACCCTGGGTAAGTCACTTAACCCCACTGCCTCAACCAAAAGCAAATAAACAAACCCAGAAACAAGAGAAAGGCCTCCAGAACTGATACTCTGCAGAAGATTAATGGTACATTGTAGTAGCAGACATTTGCATAGGCCTTACTATGTGCCAGGCACTGTGCTAAGCACTTTATAATTATTATCTCATTTGATCTTCACAACAACCCTGGGAAGTAGGTGCTATTAATGTCTCTGTTTTACAGTTGAGGAAACTGAGACAGGACAGGATAAGTGACTTGCCTAAGGCTACATAGTTAGTAAGTGTCTTAGGCTACCTTTGAACTCGGTTCTTCCTGACTCCAGGCCCCGCCCTCTATCCACCCAGCCACCTAGCTCCAAGAACAAGTACTTGAGTGATACGTGATGAGAAAGGGAAGAATGGTGTTGAATTATGCAAATGATAGGAGTACCCACAGTGAGGAAATCGTGGCTCTTTTGTAATATCAAAGCAGGAAAAAGCAGTCTTTGGTCACCTTTTGTGAGTAATTCATCCCCAGTAGCTTCTCTACATCTAACTGCCTCCATTATCATCAGTCAAGAAAGCTGTGTTTCTTTAATGATCTTGAACTCTGGAATCAGGAGGATCTGGGTTCAAGTTCTGATTCTGACACTCACTTGTTCAGTCATTTCAGTCATGTCCTACTCTTTGTGACCCCATTTGGGGTTTTCTTGGCAAAGATACTGGAGTGGTTTACCATTTCTTTCTCCAGCTCATTTTACAGAAGGGGAAACTGAGTGACTTGCCCAAAGTCACACAGCTAGTGAGTGTCTGAGACTAGATTTGAACTCAGGTCTTCCTGACTTCAGGCCCAGCATTCTATCTACTGAATCACCTAGCTGCCCTGTGACACATAGTATCTGTCACTTAATCTGTCAGTATTCCAGATAACTAAAACTATATAAGTTATACATGAGTTGCTGCTCTACATCAGCGAAGGAAGTTTCCACGCTTGGAATTACCTACCCTATGAATAATCCTACTTCCAATTTCCCTAACCTGTTTTCACTCCTTTGTTCTTAGGAACACCTGTGCCCATTTTCATAAGTCAAAAATACCACCCAGTTTCAACCAAGTTATTTTACAACCACACAAGAAACATTAACAGCAGGATAAGGCATTCTCAATTGTTCCACAAACATCATTGTCATACAGTATAGAGTTCTGATTATTATCAATTTTCCTAAAAGACAGGAAATAAGCAAATGATGCTGGGTTACCTCATTGCAAAATGTGTTTTTTTATTTTAACTCTGCATTTTTTTTACAAGTGAAAACATTCTTATTGTGACAATCTGTCCAATGGAGAAATATGTGCTCTGTGTTCAGGAGACTTGTCTCATATATTGTTGCTAGGAGACCTCACTGTAAACCCCAAAGCTCTAGCTTCTTTTAATAGACACAGAGGTATTATCTGAGTTCCAAGAATTTATATTAAGCTTTTACAAACTGTATTCTGAACATAACCCACATAAACACTGAAATACAATCCTTGAGCAGCTGTAATATTGCCCAAGTCATAATTTCAGATACCATCTGTTCTTTGAATAAAGCAATGAAATCTTCATCAATGGTGGGGGGGGAAATGAATAAACTAATTTGAGTGGCCCCGTGGTATATTGAAAAGATACTGAAAGAGAATTGGATTTAAATCATACCTCAGAAACCTAGTTGTGTGACTGTGGGCAAGTCACAACTGCTCTGAGCCTCAGTGTCTTCTTCCATAAAAAGAGGATAATAACCCCTACATCTCAGCTTTGGATTAAGGATCAAATTAGATAATATATGCAAAGAACTTTTCAAACCTTAAAGCACCATATAAAGGTCAGCAATGATGGTGATGATGATTATGATGAGGACAATGACAGCTAAACAATGACGATGGTGGTGAAGATGTTAGGGGTAGGTGTAGTAAGAATTCATCAGAATTTGTGATTCCAGAACAATTCAAGTCATGATCAATGACAAATCCACAGAATTTTGATATTGGGGCCTCAGAAGACATCTAGTCTAACCTACGCTTGACACCCCTTCCTTCACAACTATACCAATAGGTGATCATTCAGTTTCCACTTAAGAAAGAGATAATCTCTAGTTGTGGGATATCAATAGATGGAAACATCTCTTTTCTTCCCAAAAGAATATGATTTTTAAAAAGCATATGATTTAATAGTTCAGTACTTCAAGGATCTATTATTTAGTCAGTGTGGGCATTTCTTCGATCAATACAGGTTACCACCCCTTCATGGCTTAGACTGTCATGATTTTCTGTGGCTGAAAAATATATCCCCCTGTGGTGAACTTTGTGAGTTTGTGAGTAGCTTCCTTGAATACAATCAAGCTGATCCTCAGATAACTGACATATGATCCAACAATGGGCCCAAATTTATAACTTCTCTACTTAGCAGAATCCACTAGAGCTTGTACTCCACTGACCCTGAAAACCCAGGTCACCTTCAGCCCATGATGAGAGATTGGAATCCTACTACAGTAAACATACACAGTAAGCTGAGAAGGCCAAGAAGTGAAGCCTAATAATGTCAAGTATTGGGATGGACATGATGAAGTTGGAGAAGAGCATCTGTTCTATCAAGGTGAACGGACTGGTGGGAAAGCTCCAATATGGTTCCAGAGGGGCATAGATATCCCAGGGGAGGAGGAGGCTATCATGTTTGAAGACTAGCAGCACAAGGATGTCCTTGCCAAGAAGTTCCTGAATTAATAATGTGAATAATGCAAATAATGGCAGCTAGATGGGACAGTGGATAGAGCACTGGGCTCAGAATCAAGAAGACTCGTCTTCATGAGTTCAAATACAGCCTTAGACACTTACTAGATGTGTGATCCTGGGCAAGTCACTTAACCCTGTTTGCCTCAGTTCCTCACCTGTAAAATGAGCTGAAGAAGGAAATCACCTCAATATCTCTGCCAAGAAAAACTCAATGGGGCCACGGAAAGTTGGACACAACTGAAAATGACTGAACGACAATACCAAATAACGGTTGAGAGTAAGAAGAAAAGATAGAAAAAAGTAGGTTCCCCTTGAAGACTAATACCTGACATTGGTGTACACAAAGTGTTCTTATACACTTTATTTCATCTTACCCTGTAAAGTACATAATACAAGACCAATTCCCCCCATTTTAAAGATGAGGAAACAAAGGTTCAGAAATGGTAATCCAGCCTAGGAGCTCATCAATATTTTCTTTTCTGGGCCTTGATTTACCCCAAAGTTACACAGCAAAAGGTAGAACTCAAACCCAGGCCTTTGTCTCTGAGGTTCAAAGAGCTTTCCTCTATATTGCACTGTCTCTTTGCTTTGCCAAGCTGTATAAGACCAAAGCAATTCCATTCTAAAGTAATAAGAACAAGGACAATACCCATCATAACCAGGGGAAAATAAAAGCTAAAAAAAAAAATAGACTGATACCCATCTCCTGACATAGAACACTAAATCCTGAATCTTGAACTCAATTTATAGAGTGATACATGACTTTTTGGATATGGACAGAATAGGAATTTGTTTGATTGATTACACATACTTGTTACTGGGAATGTCTTCTCTCTTTTTTCTTTTAAGTGGGGAGAAGTGAGGCAATGGGGAAAGAAAAATGCTTGTTAATTGGGGGAAAATTTTAAAAACCAGATTGATAAGAACCAGTTCAAGACTTTTAAAATAAGACTTGATCATCCAGATTAAATGTTTTCTTTCTGTCTTATTTCTCAATGATACTTTATCCTTTCCCCACCTCCAACCCTCAGAACTGATAGCTTTAGCTTTAAAAATCACAAGCAATATACTGAAGATGAGGAAGAAGAAATACAAGGTGAATTTTATAAGAATAAATACATTTATTGGGTGTGAAGGTGATCAAAAGTCAAATAAGAGAGGTGTTTTGAGGCTAAAGGAAAGAAGGAAAAATCTAATTAGATCTGGGGAGGAAAAAAGGAGGAGATACAGCTTCTATAACTTCTAGAAAGACTGGTCAATTCCCAATGCACTTTGTGGTCAGACTTTAATTGAAGAGGAGAATTCATCAATTAGCAGTCTCACTCTGTAACAAAATTGTTTTCTTAACAGCAGTTTGGGACAGGTTTGTGTTAATTTGGTAAATCTGTGAGATTCTCTGTGCCCATCTGTGTGGACATATAAACAGCTGAACATCAACTTCTCCTTACACTAGTTCCTTCTTCAGACAATTCTTTTGAGAACATTATCTAGCTATACATAGATGATGAAGTGTTCCTATTCTTCATACAAGTGCACTTCTCCATTCTAGATAGAGAGCAGATGTTCCCAGCCTTGTAAATTGTTAGCTTCTGGTTTCCATAGCTGAAGTGTTTCAGAACACAGAAAACAATACGTGCATTCTTTCTTACACCACATTGGAGTGGCACAAAAGAGAGTCACAGCTGAAAAAAAAAAAGACTGATTAGTTAAGAAATGCAAACAATAACCAGAATGATCACTGACTGCTTTCTAAATCAGGAAATGTGGAATTAGCACTGGCATGACATTCCTATATGGTCTCAAGCCATATTGAATCATCTTTTTTTTTTCCCCAAGAAGGAGAGCTAGTGCTGAGAACTAAAGGATTTCTATATTTGAAGAGGTGGTTCACCAAACCAAATCTTTTCTGATAAGAAATTCCTGCCTGTCTCTTAAAAAATTAACCAAAGGCTTTTTTTTCATCAACGTATTCTAAACTAAAGGAATTAAGTTTTAGTTCTAAGAGAGGAAAGTGGACCTGTGATTAGAGAGTCTTAACAATCGTGATGAAGTCTATTTTGTAGAAAAAAAATAACAGATTTGTGTTAAGGAAATTTGTCTCATTCATTGCTACTAGGTGACCTCATTGTAATTCACAAAGGTCTATCTTCTTTTAATAGCCAGATGTGACATTCTGCTACACTTTGTATGCAGCCCAGGAAGTTTGTCACAGCATAATAGCATCTCAGAATTAAGAGGGATCTAAGAGGCCAACTATTCCAACCCACACCTGAACAATAATTACCTCAACAACAGCAGTTCTTAATCTAGGGTGTGTGATCCTTAAAAAATATAGATCTGTTGATCCTTGTTTTTTCATTAATCTTTTATAATTTTTGTTAAGCATATAAAAACATATTTCTGAGAAGGGATTCATAGGCTTCACCAGGCTGCCAAAGGCATCCATGAAATCAAGAGAGAGAGAGAACTCTTGCTCTAAAAAATATTCCACAAGTGGCTGGTCAAATTTTGCTAGAAGACCTCCAGATACTTACCTCTGACACGTATTGGCTGTGAGACCCTGAGCAAGCTACATCTTCTCTCAAGCATCCTCATCTGGAAAAACAGGAAAATAGTACCTACATCACAGGGTTATTGTAAAGACCAAGAGATAGCAAATATGAAGCACTTTATAAACCTTAAAGAGCTATGTAAATGCCAACAATATAATAACATTGGTGATCATGGCAAGCAACAACTACACAATGACAATGATGGTGATGATGTAAGGGAGAGTTGTAATCCACTACCTCCCAAGCCATCAGACTCTACTTTCAGAGAGTTCTAATTGTCAGTAAGGTTTTTTTTTCCGCAGTGTTTTGTCTAAATTTGCATCTTTGCAATTTTTGCTCACTGTTCCAAATTCAGCCATCTAGTACCAAGCAAAACAAGTTTCATTCCCTTTCCATGTGGCAGACCTTCAAATACTTCAAATGACTTGCTATGCTTCCGTGGTATCATCTTTTCTCCAGATTGTCATTTTTTCTCCAGACTGTTGTCCAGTCATTTCACTTGTGTCTGACTCTTCATGATCCAGTTTAGGGTTTTCTTGGCAAAGATACTAGAATGGTTTGCCATTTGCTTCTCCAGTTCATTTTACAGATGAGGAAACTAAGGCAAACAGGGTTAAGTGACCAGGCAAGAGTCACACAGCTAGTAAGTGTCTGACGCCAAATTTGAACTCAGGAAGCTGAGTCTTCTTGACTCCAGGCCCAGCACTTTATCCCTGGGGTGGGGAACCTGCATCCACTGTTCGATCTAGCTGCCCCATCAGATTAACCATCCCTAATTTCTTCAAACCATTCTTCTTATGGTATGGATTCAAGGCCATCTACCATCCCAATCACCCTCTTTTAGACATTTTCCAACTTTTCAGGCTGTCTTTGAATCCTTAGCACCAGGACAATACTTTGCATATAGTGGGCACTTAATAAATGCTTCTTAAATTTATTGGATTGAATTGGATTACAATTAGATACAGAATAAATATCCAATAGAATTCTTTGACATCTAACTGGAATAAACTTTAGGTGTGACCATTTTAATCCAACAGGCACTGGTGAATACTATTTTATTCAAGAGTTAGTTTTATATTGTTTTTACATGCTTTATTTTGCTTGAGAAATTTGAGGAACTCTGCACATATAAAAACAAGGCAAGTATCTTGCCCAATTTGCTGTTAAACAAAAGAAATGAGAAATTCAACAATTTGCCCCAAAGGCACCACAGGTCAGCAATTAAGTTTGGATTCCAGTGGCTTTCATCTGGTCCCTCTGTGATCAGATTTCTGAATATGTATTAACTTATTCCTTTGTTCTTGAGGCAACAAAGAAAAAGTTCGAGGGTCAGTGAAACTTATCTCCATACTTTACATGAATTGACTAATGCCGCCTAAGCAGACCCTGCATTCCTTGCAGGTGAGAACAGGGAGAGCCCTCCTTACTGTGTTTCTATTTTATTATTCTAAAAGATGACTCTTCCTGATTTTTTCCTTGATCGAGGACCCCATCTAAAACTTACTATCTACAGCTCAAGAAAACTATACCAAGGTAGGAGCAAAGTGTCTTCCAATGTCTGTAGATGGCACTTGGAGAAATGCCTATGAGGTCAGAACCTGATGCCTGACAGCAATCTTTCTTAGGGTGTCTCTGACTTAAAACAGGAGCGACCAAAGAATGCATGACATGCAGCATCAGCCTTCAGCACTGAAGATAAGTGCATTCAGAGGGGAAGGAATTGGGAACTAGTAAATGTCTTAAGTTCACAAATGGATTTATTAGGTCAGGAAAGCATAGGAAAGAATGAACTTAAATAGCAGAAAAAGAAAAGAAAAATACATGGTGAGTCTAGACAGAAGATAAAGGTACTGTTGCTCCATCTTGCTCTTGCCTAGGAAAGGCCACTCAGGTGACTTTTGCACAAGGAAAACAAAAGGCAACTTATACTCCTATTATTGCATAAAGTGGCCCCAATCCTAGACCCTTCCTCTTTCTCTTCCCCAAGACAGACTCCCTCTAACTGTTCCATACAATGAGAATCCATGAGAATTAAAGATAGAAGGATGTAATTGAGAAATATTCCTAAAAATCTAAAATGTTAATATATACTAGCTCCTAGACCCTCTTTCTGATCTCTTCATGGTCCTTGTTTCATCAATTATTTCTTACTACTTCAGGCTGTCCTTCACTACTAGCTTTTCCCTCTCTGCCTAAGGACATGCTTAGGTCTCTCCAATACTATAAAAGAATTTCTTGACAATTTATTCCAAGCCATAGGAGTAAGGCAAATTTTAAGGCCAGGTCTCAGCTGCTGGGGGCATAGCAGATGAGGTACATAGGGGTCAGGACTTTAGATAAACTCAGATATAACTGAGAAAGTATTGGACTCTAATCATAAGATTGGCAGTAACTACTATAAAAGAGCAAATCTTAGAATACAGTATTCCAAAAAGTAAAAGATAAAGGGTTGCAACCAATAATAATTTATACTCCAAGACTGGGCATAATTTTACTGGAGAGAAAATGTGTGTTTAATAGAATGGAAGACTTTACTGATTAAACAACAAAAACAAAAACACAGAACTTAGTGGAAACTTGGAAATGCAAACACTGAAGTCAAGAGAAACCTAGAAAAGTAAATATTCATAAGAGATTGGAATGGGACTAAGTGATGATGATTCTTTTCAGAATCCTGCTGTTTCTAAGCATCACAGTGAAAAAATTAAGTAAAATACAAACACAGGACTGAGTATTTGCTCTTACTTTGTTTCTGTTTTCTCTGCCAAGGAGAATAACCTTTGGATGAGAAAAGACAGAACAAACATAGCAAATAGGAAAGTAGCCAAGACAGGTAAAGAGTTAGTATTGGAGTACTTAGCTTCCCTTAATGTTTTAGATTTACCAAATCTAAATGAACTACTATACATTCTAGACTGCCGAAAGAACTGGCAGACACAATTGCTGAGCCGTTATCAATGAGCTGTTAAAGATCACGGAGAACAAGAGACAAACTGCAGGATCAGAGGTCAAACGTTGAGAGAGAGACACAGAGAGAGAGAGAGAGAGAGAGAGAGAGAGAGAGAGAGAGAGAGAGAGAGAGAGAAAATGAAGTATGCAATTACAGGCCAATGAGCTTGGCTTTGATTCCTGTCCAAATGCTAAGGTTTATTATTAAAGAGAATAATAAAAGGAAGCAATGATCACAAAGAGCCAGCACAATTTCAGTAGGAACATGTCATGCCAGATTAACCTTATTTTCATTTCTAAAAGCCAAACAAGTAGATCAAGAGAATGATGTAGATATAGTTTACCTAGACTTTAGCAAAGCATTTGGTAGAGTTTCTCATGCTATTCTTTCATTTAAAAAAAAGTGACCTATAAGATAGTACAATTAGATTATGAAATGAAGGATTGGAAGTTGAAGGTTGAAGGATTGGACCCAAAGAGTAATCATAGATGGTTCAATGTCGCAGTCTTCTTGTTGACCTTTCTGCTACATTCTTACCAGCTGCTTATTGGACATCTTGACTTGGATGCCCTGTAGAAATTCAATATGTGCAAACCCAAACTCATTATCTTTTATCCCCAATCCTTTCCTTTTCCAAATTTTCCTATCATGTCTGGGAGCACCATCATCCTCCCAGTTAATCAGGCTCACAACCTAGGTGGCATCCTTAGCTCCTCACTCTCTCTTGTCCCCATAGTCAAGTCCTGTCAATTCTACCTTCTTCATATCTCTTGTATACTCTCCCTTCTCTCCTCTGATACTGCTACCACTCTGGTGCAAGCCCTCATCATCTCACACCTGGACTATGGCAATAGCCTTCTGCTGCCTCAAGACTTTCTCCATTCCAGGTCCATCTTCTACTTAGCTGGCAAAGTGATCTTCCCAAAGTACTTCTGACCATGTCACCCCTATTCAATAGACTCCAATGTTTCTCTATTCCCTCCACATTAAATATAAATTTCCATTTGGCCTTTAAAGCCCTTCACAACCTGGTACCTACCTACATTTACAATCTTCTTGTACTTTGGTCCTCACTGCATGCTCTATAATCCAGTGACACTGGACTCCTTGATGTCCTCAAACATGGAATTCCATCTCCTCATTGGCTCTTTCCCATGCCTGGAATGTTCTCCTTACTTGTCTCTGTCTCTTGATTCCCTGATTTCTTCAAGTCTTAGCTAAAATCCCACCTTCTATAAGAAGCTTTTCCTTGTCCCCCTCAATACTAGTATCTTTCTTCTGAGATTATTTCCAATTTATCCTGTATGTATTTTGTATACATATGGCTGTTTGCATTTTGTCTCCCTCATTGGATTCTGAGTTCCTGAAGGCAATAACTGTTTTTTTTCCTTTCTTCTATCCCCATTGTTTAACACAGTGTGTAGTATTAAAGCAGGGGTGGGGAACCTGCAGCCTCAAAGGCTATGTGTGGCTGTATAGGTCCTCAAGTGTGGCTCTTTGACTGAATCCAAACTGATTTGCTCTGTGAAGTCCTATGAAGTTTGGATTTAGTCAAAGGGCTGTACTTGAGGACCTCGAGACCGCAGGTTTCCCCACCCATTAAAGTAAGCACTTTATTTATTTGCTGGTTTATTAACCATCCCTTCCTCCTACATGCTCTATCTTCTATGGAATTTCATTATACTTGTCTCTCTTCGTTTTCCTTCTTGCCTGACCCATCCTCAATTTCTTTATTGGTCTATCATCCATCTCATATCTCCTAACTTTGACTATTCAATTATTTCTATGTAGATTCTTCCCAAATCTATATATCTAGTCCTGGTTTCCCTGGAGTACAAAGGCACAAAGAAAAGAGATGACTCTCATCTGAGTTCCAGTACTTCATCACTAACCTACTTAACATTTGGAGTCAGATATCCCATAAGCATCTTAAGATCAACATGTCCAAAATAGAATCCCTGATCTTTCACCCTAAATCTTCCCCTCTTCTAAATTTTCCTGTTTCTACAGGCACATCATCTAGTCCCCCAGGTTTAAAACTTGAGTGTCATCTTTGACTCCCCATTTTTTCTCAATCCAAATATCCCATCAGTTGCCAAATCTTGTCATTTCTATCTCCACCCTTTCTTGTATAAGTCTCCTCTCTACTCACAGTGCCACCACCTTAGTTCAGACTTAATAACCTCTTGCCTGGACTATTGCAAATGCCTTCTAACTGAACTTCCTGTCTCAAGTCTCTCCCTACATAGCTGTCACAACAATTTTTCTAAAGCTGACCATGTCATCCCCCATGCAATAAAATACAAAGGCCTTTTCTTATTTCTAGGATCCAATATACATTCTTGTTTGTCATCTAAAGCTTTACATAACATGATCCCCTCTCCTTTCTGACTTCTTTTTCTTAACGTAGTCCCTTCTTCTCCATCTATTCTTCTTTCCGCATTATTCTCCTCTCCATGTTCTACTGTCCAAACATACTGATATGCTTGTTGTTCTTCACACACCACCCTCAATCTCCTACCACAATGCCTTTCTATTGTCTACCTTCCCACACTTGGAAAGAACTCTCTCCTCATCTCTTCCTCTTGTATTACCTGGTTTCCTTCAAAATTAATTCAATACCCTACCCTACCCCACCCATAGCTGCTAGTGCAGTCACTCCCAAAATTACTTTGTATTCATTTAGCACATATTATGTTTATACTTACTTATTTCCATCCTGCTTCCTGCTAGAATGTAATCTATTTAAGGGCATAAAACATAAAAAGGAAAACATGAATGGAACAACAATGAAGGACTAAACAAGGATAAGCTGCTTATATTCCAATATTGGAAGATGACACATGTGGCACCACTGAACTTTTCATCATCAGGGATGAAAGAGAGAGCCTAATTAGAAAGAAGGACAGGGAGCGGTTCTGTTATATCTTAATCATCTTAAAAGAAGGATGGAAAATGAGAAAAAGAAGCATACACTGGGGTGGGGGAGAGAAAGGAAGATTAGGGAAATTATCTCACATAATCTAGATGTAAAAATAGAAGTCTATATAAAATGGAAGGGAGGGCAGCCCTTGAATCTCATTGTCATCTGATCTAGTCAAAGAAGGGGAAAACACACACACACACACACACACACACACACACACACACATAATTGGGTTCAGAAATAAATTTCACTTAAGGAAATAGGAGACAAAAGAGAGAAGAGAAAAAGAGAAATGAGAGAGACAGAGTAGATTAAGAGACATAAGAGAGGCATTAGTCCCAAGCAAAACAAACTCTAAGAATATACAAAAATATTTATAGTTCTTTATGAGGTGGCAAAGAATTGGAATCTAATGGGGTGCCCATCAATTAGAGAATGGTTGAACAAGCTATGGTGTATAAATGTGATAGAATACCATTCTGCAGTAAGAAATAAAGAAGGTAGCTTCAAAGAAACCCTTGGAGACTTTTACGAATGGATGCAGAGTATAGAATGAGAAGAATAATGTATACAGTAACAATATTGTATAGATAAACTCTCACCAACATAACAACCAATCATAATTCCAGAGGACTATTGATGAAACATGCAACCCACTTCCTAACAGAGAGATGATAGACCTAGATTGCAGAATGAGACATAGGTACATGTGTACACGTACATATAGATATGTATGTATATTCATACACATATACATACATATTTATGTGTGTGGTATGTATATATACATAATATTTTTTTCTTTTAGACACAGAAAATGCAGAAATTTATTTTGCTTGACTATATGTGTATGTTTGTAATGGAGGTTCTGTTTTTCTTTCATTGTCAATTGGGATGGAGAAAGGGCAGATTTCTGCCCATTGAAAAACAGTCTAATTTTTAGAATACCATCTAATAGCTAACAATCTAAACAATCCATTTTTTGAAGTCTTTCTTTTTTCATTGAATAGCTGGCAAGGTTATGTCTCAAACCAAAATACATAGGAGGAGTAGAGTAGTATGCAGCCCTAATTAACTTCATACAACCAACCCCAAAGACCTAGAGAAGGCAGGGACTTCAGGGTTGTCTGGTCCAAACTTTTCATTTCTTTAATTAGGTGAAAAATCACAGTGATGTTCAACATTTATTCCAGGTGTAGGTGAGCTACCTAAACAGATGACTGTGATTTTGTCACCTCAGACATGATAAAAAAAAAAAAAGAATGATGAAAGGAGAGTCAAAGAATATGGTCATGAATACCAGCCCTACTGTGCCAAACTGCCTAGGTCAAGTAGCTCACTCAGCCTCTCCTGGCCTCAGGTTCTTCAACTCAAAGATCAGGATGGGGAGAGTTATAGTAGATGCCCCTTAAAGTCCCTTCCAGCTCTAAGTCTATTATCTTTTGTGTGACACTGGCTAACCTGGCCCTCAAAACCTGAAGACCAGGTAGGTTAGATTTTTACTCTTCCTCCAGGGTACTCTGGTACTCTTAAGTGGATTTGGGGGTATCTAGTCTCTCTGAAAATGGCTTTAGCCCCCACCAATGTTGTTTCCTCAATTTTATGGGGAACCCCATTTCTATTAATCACTGACAATCAGATTCATGTATGATGAGAACAATTTGTCCCAAAGGCCTCGAAGGCAGCTGAAACAGGTGTTGTAAAGTGCTCAGAGCTTAGTCATACATCAGAGACTCCAAGGTCATCCACTGCATCCTGGGTCATTGCCAGTTGTTCTGACTTTTGTCCTACCACTGGACTTCAATGATGCAGAAAGAGAGAGTAAGGCTGATGACTCCATCCAACTCTGCCTCACTTAAATCCAATTCACATGCAAGTCAAGACATCACCAATGATGTAACTGGTTCTCTTCAAAAACAAAGAATGAACAAGAGCAACAAAAAAAATATAATAACAAATATGCAAACATACTCTCCCCAACATGTGGAAGGGATAATTCCCCTCCTTCCTTGTACCATCTTAATCTCCAAGGAGGGGAAGAGGATTAGGTTCATAGTTTAGCTCACTTCCCAAAGAGTACAGTACCAATTCCAAATCCAAAACTCACCTCTGAATTGAGTTCTAGGGACCCTGGTTTCTCCATCCCACTTGCAATCCTGGCTCTAGGATTCGTGGCTTGAACTCCTGGGTCGCATAGGAATCACTACTGACACCTAGAAACTGAGGACAAATGACACAGAACAGAAACAAAACCAACCCAAGCCCATTGCTTGGGGAGTAGAGCAAAGAAAGGCCTTCACTTCTCAAGGGTTCAGTTCATGTGCCCATGCTGGGGGTGAATTGTGATCTTCACCCTCTGAACACAGCAGATAAATGGCCAAACAGAGCAGCAGGGAGAGTGACCAGCTCAGTCTTACCAGTTTTAAAGATGCAGGCAATCAATCAAAAGAGATTTCCCGGATGCATATGGTAGGGAATGCAGAGGCCTCCATGTTAAGCAATCTGGACATGTTCCAAAGGCCTTTCTGGTCATCTCCATGTTAGGTTTACTGGGCACGCTTAGACCAATCCAGTTTATACTTTATATGCTATGATTTCATGGTATACTATATATTTACCACTTATCTGCAAGTAGGGCTAAATTATGTATAAATAATAACTGAACTATGAATAATATTTCATTATATAACAAATGGTCCATGATTAATAGGAACTGGCAATGATGTGGGACAATTTAATTAAACTTTAATTAAATTCTTCAGCATTGTGACATGATAATTTTAATTGTAATTGCATCTGTAGCATATTTGAAATGTGTCAAAAAAAAACACTATTCATATTAATTCCAAGATTTTATCTTTGTAAAGAAAAAAATACTTTCCTTATTGGGCATGTCACAATTGAAATAATAATAACAATAACAATAATATTAATGACTAACATTGCTATCACACTTTAAGTCTTGTAAAGGGCTTCATATAGACTATCTTATTTGATCCTCACAATAATCATGTGATGTTATAAAGTAAAATAAACTTAATTCACCTCAAATTCATCTTCAATATGAAAGAACATGTTAGGTGCTTCTAGAAAAAAAAATCCTGAATAAAAGTGTCAGAGTGAAGTGAACTGAAGGCTCTGAAGCCTTATTGTCTAAGCCTAAGAGTCTATGTAGAGTCCTGTGCCTCTCCTGAGAGTTTTGCTTTGTTCTTTCCAGAAAGAAAATGTACATGAACAATTCCGAAGGACTTATAATGAAAAATGCTATCTACCTCCAGAGAAAGAATTGATTGAGCCTGAATGAAGATCAAAGCATACTTTTTTAATTTTTTTCTTTTTCTTTTTGTTTGGTCTGTATTCTCTTTTGCAACATGACTAATATGGAAATACGTTTTGCATGACTGCACATCTTTATCAAAGTGGTTGTCTTCTCAAGGAGTGGGAAGGGGAGAGGACAGAGGGAATTTGGAACTCAAAAATTATTTTAAAAAAAGAATATTAAAAATTGTTTTTACATGAATTGAGAAAAAAATAAAATAAAAACATTATTTTAAAATTTTAAAATTAAAATTTTAATGCAGTTGACACATTATTCATTTTTAATAGATTGGTTGATTCTGGAAGGTATGATTTGATAACTCAGAGTGATGGGGAGTGTGTATTTTAGGTCTCTAACTGCTTCATGGTGTGGGTGTGTTGTTTTGATTAAGAGGGTACAGAGGAGCTGACTGTTCTTTTTGTACAATGATTAATAGAGGAAATTTACTCAGTCCTGCTCTCTGGCTGTTCTTTGCCAGCTTTTTTCCCAGGACATCATCTCCCCTGAGCTCATTATGACTAATAACTGCTGCTGTATGTACCATCTTCAGCCACGAGGTCAATTATGTCGCTTTGCACGACTATCTGAAATACTCCTAAGTCTGAATAACAAAAATGTTAAAACTCTATTGTTTTTAAATGACATTATTCCATTTTGCAGATGAGGAAACTGAAAAACAGATAGTTGGGAAAGAAGCAGTATTGACGTAACAAGCATGTCTGGGGCACCCACCCACACAGCTTTTGTCACTAATGTAGGAAAGAAAATAAACTTGTGTGGTGACCTTCTTATAAAAAGGAAATGAAAAATAAAGAGGACAGAACGAACAAATTGTGCCACATGGTGCAGAAGCGACTGAGAATATAACTGTCTGGGCCTAGGGTGAGGAAGAATGGTGGGCACACCATTATCAACGTATGGTTCTGCCTTTGAGCTCTTTCTCTCTACCACTCTACAATCAGTAGAGAATAATTAGGGTCTCATACAGCCCAGATGATGAGCCTGTCTTACCAGGAAGCAAAAGGCAGCATTTGAGGTCCCAGCTCCCCAGCACCATGAGAGGAAAAGTGACTGGAGGAGGAATCAGTGGCCAAGGTCCAGAGTTCCCTCAATGCATTGAATACCAATGCCCCTGGAGGTCTGGGGACAGATGCTACTTTCTAGTAGGAACTGATAGGGAAATCTAAGCTTAAGCATTTTAATCATGTTTGTGGAACTTTGGGGTTTAGGGCATTGCCGATAGACTGGTTAAAGGCTGCCAGGGTATGAGAATAGTTTCTGCAATAGTTGTTTTAATATATTTGATGTTATTCTTTTTGTCTCTTTGTTTATAAATAAAAAACTGTACACAGTTAAGCCATGCTTCTATGGTTACCTCCATTATGCAGTGTTCCCATAATTGAAGTCCATTGAAACTTACTAGCAAGAAAAGAGGTTGGCTTCTCCCAGTGGTTGGCAGCTAAGCCAAGAACTAATTGGATAAAGCCAAACTGGAAATACTCCTGTACTAATGAGAAATCTGCAGAAGGGGTGGAGCTAATGGTAAGATTTAGTCCAGTCTCTGAGAACCATAAAGAGCTTTTTATTTCCCAGAGTAGCAGGGTAGCTAGGTAGTACAGTGGTTAGAGTGCCAGGCCTGGAGTCTAGAGAAATTGAGTTCAAATACAGCCTCAGATACTTACTAGCTGTGTGACCCTGGTCAAGTCACTTTTGCCTCAGTTTACTCATCTGTAAAATGAGATGGAGAAATAAATGGCAAAACACTCCAGTATCTTTGCCAAGAAAACCCCAAATGGAGTCACCAAGAGTCAGACAGGACTGAAAAAACAACTAAACAACAACAAAATTACTCTTGGGCAACCATGGAATTGTCATGGCCGGGTTCTTATTATTCAGCATGATAAGACAAATGGCCAGTAGCATCCCCTGATGGTAAAAAAAAAAAAAAGAGGAAAAGATAGAGGAGTAAAAAGTATTAAATCTGAAGAAGAGAGAAGAGAGTTGGTACTTAAGTCTATAACTACATGAAAAAATGCTATATACAAAATGTTGAAGAGAGTCCCAAATTTCACCAAAGACAAAAAGAAAAGAAAAGAGATATAAGTTGGAGCATGAGAAATTTAGGTTGGATATTTGTTATTTCAGTAGACCTCATTTTGAAGAAAAGTTGTTTCCCTGAAATGCTGAATATAAAAAGAATTTTTGTTTATTTTTATAGAATCATATTTTCTATGTACTTAATGAGTCTCAAGTACCGCCTTCTGGTAATGGGGGCTGACTTTCTCAGACCTCCCAGCTTCTACAGCCTTCCCCTTTAAGATTATCTTCCATCTACTCTGTATATATCTTTTATGTACCTGTTTCTTTACATATCGTCTCCCACCATCTGACTGTAAGCTCCTTGGGAACAGAAGAGGGTAATGTTAGGGGGTGGGGGTTGCTGGGCCTGGCATATAATCAGTAATAATAAAATGATTATTGGTTGATTTGCTTAAGTAAACCCTTAAATGACTCCTTATTATACACATTCTGTATTCACTTTGTGATTACTTTTCTTGAAGTGGGACATGCTCTGTCAATATTTTAACCAGAAGTGAGGCAGTGTCAGATGTAGGGGCAGAAGAAAGGCCAATGGTACATCCTGCTAGATCCAAGTGCTCCAAAAACAGGTGAAGAAAATGGGGACCAATTACATTAGTAACTTTGTCAAGGGACTTAGGGAAGCCAGATAATAGGAAAAGGGCAAGTATACTTCATAACAAGACAGTCTATACACAGTAAATGGACCATGTTGTGAGATTAAGTATAGTGAGTGCAGGGGAGAGATTATTTAAGACTGAAAGGAGTGGCAGCTAGGTGGCACAGTGGATAGAGCACCAGGCTTGGAGTCAGGAAGACCTGAGTTCAAATCGGGCCTCAGACCAGACACTTGACACTTAACTAGCTGTGTGACCCTGGGCAAGTCACTTAACCCCAATTGCCTCACCAAAAAACAACCAAAAAAAAAAAGGGGACTGAAAGGAGTGATGCCTACCACTTATCATCATTGTGATACGTGGCAAGTTTCATTGGTGTCTGTGTCAATCTAGGCTCATACCTTGGCTACTCCAGACCCCATACCCCACATGCAATAGAACTGGAGGAGATAACAATGATGAAAATTTAGGTCAGATCCAGCCTGGAGCTACCTCTCTGAATTGTACCTGATGAATTTACTCTTCAATTCTCATCCTGTCTAGCAACGGGCAGTAAGTATATATAAAAAACTCTAGAATATTTGGGCCCTTACTGTGGTTAATACAACACCTCACCAGGGTGAGGAATGAGGATGCCCAGCACACCACTGCCATAAAACAATGCTGTCTTGGGCAGAGAAGTTGCATGAGAGAAACTGCCATTTTGCCAATCCCTGCTGTTTTCATCCTTGCTGTGTATGTCTCTTACCTATTCTGTACTGATCTTGTTAGCTCCTTGGATTTGGTTATGCTATGAAGTCTGGCTTGAACTGCCATGGCTTTCTCTTTACTTTCCCAGACCACGATTTGACTATGCCTTCTTTCCCCAAGAGCGTTTTCTGCTTTAAGCTATGTTAATTACCCTTGATCACCACTACAGTTAGCTTCATTTCCCCTCCCCAACCCCCACCCTCACCCTTGCCCTTGCACATAAGGTACTGACAAGGGATTTTTGAGGTGAGCATATTTATGTAAGGGTATTGTTCTGTAAGCCCTATCTAGAAATAACAGGATAAACTGGATGATGTCATGATCTTTCATGAGAATCATGAGTACATAAAAGCTTTGGAAGATGACATTCCACATCTTATGCATGTTGGACAGCCATGACGAAGGCACCCAAACCTGGAATGGTCAAATGTCTGTCCATGGATCTAATTCAACCCAGTTGACCTTTCTTGATTGTCATTGAGACTGTCCAGAAAGATCTTGAATCAAGGACAAGATAAAAACCATGATTTCCCATCCCTCCTTCATGGATCTTCCAAGCTATCTATAGCCCAGTGACACTTAAAGGTTATACATGACTCATCTCTGACTTTAAGCACCCCTATGTTGAATTTAACTGCCAGATCTGGTTACGCAGCTGCCTTCATCGGGTGCTGTTTCATGCTGTTGTCATGGAAGCATGGCATAAA